GAATCTTGAACTCATCATGAGAGCCCTGCTTTTGCCATTGTGTATGCTTCTGTTAATAATGTGTGCGTTTTAATTCAATAAAGCATAAAATAAGCACAAAATAACTGAAAAATAATAAAAGATTTCAGCTCAGATCCCTACTGTTGCACCTGGTATTTCACTTTATGTTTTACAACTGTTAAATATGTCTAATTACTGACTTCAATCCCAGCTTTGGCCCTTAACCAATTCCTAAGAAAATCGATGCGTGCTTTTTAGCCTTTCATGTCACACATTACAGTGATGTTGTGCAACCTGTTCACCCAAAGCCTGAATGTTCAATCAATAAATATGCTGCTAAATTAAATATGTTCATGTCATTGTCTTCCCTTTTGTGTTAACTTGATCTACTCTGCACGTTAATAAGCACCACTTAAAATAATAATTTTACTGTATTCAATTCTACTGTTTAAGTGGGTGGGCTTGACATCATCAGGTTAGTGGTCACTCTGAGGGATCGTATCAAAGTATCAGTGTGACCCTTTTCAGGCTGAGGAACGCATTATGCATGCAGTAATAGGCAGTATGATCAAGAAAGACTGGAAGAATAGCCGTAATTGCATAAACTGGGTCACACAACAGGACAATGCTCCAAAGCCAGGATGTAACACTAAATACAGAGGAATAGAAATTGACTTTTTATAATGCTAGTTTTTCTGAATCATCATTTGAATGCACTGGTTAACCACAATAAAGAGATGCAATAAAGAGAAGAAGTCGCACCTGTAGACAGCATCTTTAATTACCTGACATCACAAAGGTCCTACTGTACTGTACATGACACTGTGGGACTGTGGAGTCAGCATGCTCACAGATACTAAAGAAAAAGTTTGTTTGATGTGTCTTTCTTCACGGTTGTGCAAATACTCATTTTTGTAATCTGATCAGCGAACATAATCTTCCAAAACAAAAATAAAAAAATGAGAGAAACATTTAAATATCCCAAATTCCAATGACGCTTACTAACCATTTTTTTAAGTGATTAACATTGAAATTTCTTAAACAAATATTGAGCACTGGTCCTATTCCATCACATGGTGGAGCACAGATTAGACCAACACAATGCATTAGATATAATTATTAACTTTACATGTATATACATATACACTGGTTTTCTTCAGTGGTATATCAGGTGCAGGTATCTACAGTGCCTTTATTTCAGGCACATATAATACATAATCATAAAACTGTAGTGCAAGCTAATTCCACATGACATATCTGATGACAAACATGCTTTAGTTCATGTCTTTTTTTTTTCACTGTGATTTTTTTTCTCCATCCAGTGCTATAAAAACTCTGAGGAAACAGCAGGTTTTTCCATATGTGAGTGTATATACTGTATGTTATTGTTAAAGTTAGTATCCATGTAGTTTGTCAATTTCTCTGAGCCTCTTCGTTCCTTGTGGCTTTTGTCCGCTGATCAAAGCACAATCAGCATGTCTGTTGAGCCACCGAGGACAAAAAAGTCATCCAAGAATGTCTCCTTTGACATGAGGCAGTTTTTGTAATCCAGAAACAGTCACAAGATACCATTAAAAGAGTTTGGCGAGAAATAGAAAAACCTCTAGTCCCTGCATCTTCACAGGAGCTACATTATGTATCAGGGTGTCTTACGTTATTGTGGAGTCTGCGGCATTGGGTGGGGTGCATGACTTTGCTCTGTTTGTATGTGAGTTGTGCTAATGAAGGAAAACAGCTGAGGACGTCCAGATTCTTATATCACATTTTCAAACAGCTGCATGGAGTTCATGATGTTCTCGTCCTGCAAAAAAACGATAAAGATAAAACATCTGTCAGCAAATTCAGAAGGAAACAAATGTTTTAGGTCAAAGTTTCAGATATAACAAATGGCCATGGGGGCACTGTTTATAGCCAAAAGAACTGAGTCATTATCAGCAACTGCGAATATAAATCTTCCACCATGTGATGTTTCTTTATAGGGGCACAGATTAGAGACTGAGCTTGTTTTTACCAATCTCTACTAGACAACTAATTTCAGTTTTTTGATGTCCTTGATAGAGAAGAAGACTGAATGCAGTCAATTGAGGCAATGCTGTAAAGAAGAGTGATGTGAGACACTGATAAAGTCATGCAGAAAATACAGAAAATGAAATCTAGGGTGTACTTAGAGCCCTAGAAAAACATTCTTTTTCACCAAACGTTATATTCAATGACACTTGAACTGGTGTTTGAGACCACTAACTAAGGAAAAAGATTTACTGAGGTCATCAATCAAGTCAAGCATTCTCATTGCTTTTTTCAACCTAGAAGCTAAATCCATCTATTACACACAGCCTGTAGGGGGAAAGCAGCAGCAGTCAGTCTATTGTTTGTGTTAATTCAAAGTTCTCAGATTGTAATTCTTTTGCGCCTTAGTGTTATCTGTATTTTTTTTTCTTTAAATTGTGTGTAAATAAAGCATGCTACAGTACATCTACAGTTTGAGTAAAATAACTGGAACGCTCTCTGCTCGTTACGTAGATGCACTGGCTTGAATTTTCCATTTTTATCTCTGTTGATTGAAGCATGTTAAAACAGCTGCAGAGCTGCATCAGAGGCACTGACCAATATTTGAGTTTGGGGTAAACAGCACACACAGATGGTCTCAAAATAAATAATGACTAATGATCTAAAAACCCAGTGTTTTACACCAATCAAAACACAAGATAAGTTAGTGTACATACTTTGACCTCAACTACTTGTGAAGTCAGTAAGAAAACTGACATCCACGAAACTGCGCATACAATCTAAAGCAAATTTTGTGGTAAAATAGTTAAGAAACGGGGTCAAAAGTCAATTACTTGCCTCATTACATGTTTTGGTTTACTTGCTGGTACTGAGTGCCAACACTCAAAACTACCCTTTATCGGGAGATAATGGCTTTCACTGTTGCCCAGTTAACAATTTACAGCTTTTGGAGGTGTGTTTTAAAATGTCTTTCTTTTCCAGTACAGAGATGTCTTCCTGGTAAGGCCCACTGACTTTACTGTAACTGTGTTTATGTCAAGGTTGTCTAGCAGACATAAAAAATCTGAAAATGTAGCCTGCCCAAATAACTAGATGATGAGTAAACACTGTTTTAGTGTTTGTTAACATTGTGTAGATACTGACTGTGACGAATTAAACACCAGTAGCTTAATATAGCAAAATACAGAGGAAGTGATTTCCTTCAGAGAATGTTCATGATTAAGGATATTAGTTTATAAACATTTTTCAACCAAAATAGTGTACTGATATGAGGAACATCTGATTCTGGTTATTAACTGCAGAGATATCTTTGAGGATGTGAAGCTGGGTTTTTATCACTGACTTTTCTAAGTTCATGAATTAGGTATTAAAAAAGGAAATTAGGTGAAATCAGGTCTCTTTTCCTTACAGTACTGACTGTGAGAAAGAAGTGGAGACACATATAGAAGTACACAGGATTAAAGGTGATTCAAAAATAAAAACGCTATAATTAGTAAAGGTAAAGTCCGCATATAAATACAGAACATGATCATTACAGACTAGAAAGTGTGATATTCCTCCAAAAATAACATGTCAGGGTTTACAATATGTGTGAAGGGAGATAATACTAGTCAGTGTGAGTGATGTCATGCTGTAGCTGACATTGAACCAAGAATCTTGATCTACTGCAATACTGTAATTGTGATTTACACTGACTGGTGTGTGGGACAAAAAAGTGTGCGTCACCTTCTGACAGGTCTCAATGAACTCTTCAATAGTCACTACACCATCTCTGTTCCTGTCCATTTTCTGAAAAAACAGAAAAAATAAGTAGAGAAAGCAGACATTAGTGAGACAATATTTAGGATATTTAACTCTTAAGAGACCAAAATGAATAAGTAGGGTCATTTCCAACCAAATTATATTTTACAAAGGAACACTTTTCATAAATGGCTCTGTTTGTGTTTGTCATACCTAGACGTTTTTCTTTATCTATGACAGATATTCTAAGATGCTCTAATATAGTTATGTATGGCTTACAATAGCTTTTATGGAAAAGGGAGTCAACCTGAGCCATCACCAGTCTTTTCATCATAACTTTGGGCATTAGTCATCTGCCTCAAGGCTAAATCTTACTACCCTAAGTCTGTTATCCATGGCTTACTGAAAAACTACAATCTAGAAATTATATTTAATTGTGTGGATTCAGAACCTGAAAGAACTTGTCGACATGTTCAGAGGGTGCTTCATCCCGCACGCAAGGGTAGGTATACCGCCCCATCATGTCATAGATGGACTTCATAATTGCCAGCATTTCCTGAAGAGAAGCAGAGAAGGAAAGGGAGTGGATATAATTCACTTTTTACCTAAAACGGCCAACTGTTTCAGTGTTTTGTTTACCTACTATGGATTTTAAAATGTACAAACTCTATATTATATGATTAAAACAGAAATTTAATTTAGTTGTCCCATCTTGGCCGTTTTTAATAAAAACAAAAAAAAAAAGCCAGTCTCTGAGAAAGATGAGATTGTATCAGGGCGGATAGATAGAGACAGACAGCCCTTGAGGCTAAATGTCTACATATGTCTATTTAGCTTGAAACTGCCAAAGGCACAATCATCATTCAGGTCACCTATACCATGGAAAACCAGTATAAGAGCTCTCCTTTAAATGTCTGCGACTGGTGTAGTTTCTCAAAGTGAAGCCAATCAACATGTTATTCTCTACAAATACAAACAGGCATATCTGCCCCAAGAAATGGGCTTAATATGCTTATTAACACCTTAATAAGCAGTTAATAAGCATTATAAAAACGCTTATTAACTGTTTAAATAGGACATAATAGTTATTACTAACAAAAATATATAATTCTGCCTGGTTTAAGGCTCCTGATCAGTATCTAGACCCAGAATCTAGATTGAGAAGGTGAGATGGTGAATGTTTTTTTTTAAATAACATTTATCTTCTTGTAAAGCACTTAAGTGTACACATATGTACAGTGTACACATATGAAAGCAGTTATTAGTTGCTTCTACTTCATGTCAGTTTAAACAGTTTTGGATGTAACAAAGGTGACAGAATATGAGATTTGTCTTTGTTTTGTTGTCAAAAAAATTACACATCTTACACGCATGCACACGCGCACGCATGCACGCACACACGCACACACACACATATACCTCTTTGGTGATGTAACCATCCTTATTAATGTCGTAAAGGTTAAAAGCCCAGTTGAGCTTCTCGGTGACCGAACCTCTGAGCAACACTGACAGGCCGATGACGAAGTCCTCAAAACGGATTGAACCGTTTCTGTCCATGTCAAATGCGTTGAACAGGAAGTGAGCGTAGGTGGTTGCATCTGTAGATGAAAGAAGACGCGGATTTAATGTAGTGCTTTTAACAAAGCACCCAAAAACAGCAAAGAAGAGGGAGTCATTATCTTAGGGAAGAGGCTTGAACCTCATAGATGTTCTGTTTTGATTTTTTTAATTACTCTAATAGATTATGAGTTGCATATCTTGTGATATTATTATAGTTGTGGTCAGAAGTTTACAAGCACCACTGGTATGAAAGTAATGATAATTTTGGGCTTTTAATGATTTCTTTGAACTGTTCTTGTCCAGAGTGGAAAGATTGTGCAGCGTTTAATTTATTTTGGATTTAATGCACAAAGGGTCAAATATTTGGTAGAGTTCATTTAAATTGTTTGGTTTCCTGGTGCAGACCCAGCTTTCAAACATTGTTAACAAATTTTCATGATTGAAGTTGGGACTTTGGAAAGGCTGTTCCAGAGGTTAGCCTGCAGTTTCAATTCTAAAACTAGTTTTTGTGTGTGTTTTGATGCGTCCTGTTGCAACACTGTTGGCGACAGTGGGAAGGAAAACCTCCTTTTTAACAGGAAGAACCCTCCAACAGGGGTAAGGGGAGGGACACATAACACTCTTCCAAAAATGCCTCATGTCATTGTACCCAAATAGATCAATTTTTGTGTCACTTTTCCCCAGAAGGCTTTGACTTGTCTGTGTAGTCAACACCCTTTTAGTCCATGGCGATGCAAAACATATTTAGCCAATAAAGCTGGTGTTTCACTGGTTTCCAGTTCATAGCAGGCTTGAGCACTGATGGCTCCTGGGTTGCTCCTGAGCATCCAAAGCAGCTTCCTCTCATCTGAAGGTGGCAGTCTGGGTATTCTTTCAGACTTTGGCATACTGGACTTTTCAGTTTCAGATTAATTCTGACACACTGTGTATTTTTTAATACTATTAATTTATTTTAATTGGGCAGCATTAAAGCATGATTAACTGAATTTTAACTTAATATTGCAGCATGTGGCTCTTGTAGCCACATACTTTTACTTCTCATACTAAATGCTTTTAACTCATTCCCCCTTTGACACCTACTGGGGTAACCCTTGTTTCTCTTTCCTGAATGGAGGCATATTTCAGGCCTACTTCAGGAACAAAATAATTGGGTGTGCATCTTGTTTAAAACTTGTTTAACCTTCTAGGACCTGGCATCCAAATCTGTGGACATCACATTTTGGGTTGTCTAGACCTTTTCTCTACAAGGGCCTAATATCCACTTACGAGGACATTATACTGCCACTGCTCTATCAAAATTTAAAACAAATGTCCTCATATGTGGATCTGATTTTTCTCAAAAAAAAAAAAAAAAAATCAGGTAATTTTGTTTTTACATTCATCAGGTCCCAATCAGCCCAAATAGCAAAGAGAAATTAAAAATGCATGCCATGAAAGAGTTTGGGTCTTAGGAGGTCAAAGTTATGAAATATAAATCAGGTGTGGAAAAATATGATCCTCGGTCCCTCACTAAAAAGGACAGAAAAAGAGGAGATTGTTTTAATGTCTAACCTCCTTGGGGAAAGAACTGAGAATAGATGGACTTGAATGTCTCCTCATCAACCAGTCCGCTGGGACACTCCTGCTCAAGGGAGGAGGAAAAAGGAGATATACATGTTAGAATAATAATTCAGCTCTATATAAAGCATAGTAATAATAGCAAAGCAATTAGGCTGGTCTCAGCAGAAGCAGCAGCTAGACGCACGTTCTTGAAGCCTCGATACAGAGACTGAAGCTCCTTCCTGGTGAACTTGGTCTGAGCCTGCAGCTGGTCCAGCCCCTCTGGCTGGTGACGCACAGTCGACAGCTCCAAATCACTGTCGCTGCTATCTGTGGGAGGAAGAGAGACAGAGAGAAAGGGATGGATAGACAGACAGAAAGGAGGAAAAGTAAAGAAGGGGAGAAGGAGAGAGAAGTGATGAAGGGAGGGAAGGATGGAGAGAAAAAAGAGGGAGGATGGGGCAGACATTGAGTGAGAGGATGCAGGTCAACATTCGGAGATGGGGTGTGGGTGGGTTCACACATTCAACAGGAGGAGGCATAAGAGGAAAATGTTCGAAGTTCAAAAGAGAGAATTATCAAAAAACTGTGGAGGAGGAAAAGGCAGGCGAACAAGGGAGTAAAATAAGAGGAGGAGGTACTTTCTTTATGGTGGACATGTCACCAAACTTGAAGGGTCAATTTATGAGAATTCAATCAATGCATCCCACATGGCCCCATCAGAATCAGCTGATATTGTTGGTCAATAATGTGTGAGTAGTTTCTGAGCTACAGGCCCTTGAAATATATAAAAGGAAGGTTGAAATTTATCACTTTTTTATATTGCCTTGTTTAAACATAGTTAAAAACTACAACCAAATCAGTTTTAATCAGGTTCAAGCATTTAAAAAGGAAAGGCCATTAAAAAGCACTGAATTCCAGCCAATCCCTATGTACTTCAAGGGCCTGTAACTTGGAAAGTATATTTATAGTATAAAGGTAAAAGTTTGCATGCCTTCATTAAACATAAAAAAGTTATTGTAGAACAAAAATCAGCCTATCCTGAAGGTAGACGTGTGGGAAATGTTTCAAATCTGGCTGACTTTATATGGAGCGACTTTCAAAACAAAAGCCACCACAGAAAACCTAAGTTTGATCATTTAGATTAAAGACACTTTCTCACTCAAATTAAGTGTCGTGACATTGGTTACCATTGCACACTAAGAGAAAGCACTGCACAGCTGGGCAAAAAGAAAACACTTTTAAAAAAGGAGGGAAGTTTTCTCCGTTTGGTTGGACTCATGTTGTTACATACTCACCATCTTTAGACAGAAAGAACAGAGGTGGAGGAGGTGGACGGGTGTCGACACCGAGATGGAGTGAAAGAGCGTAAATGGAGAACAGTGGGAGAGTGACAGTAAGAGGAAGAAAAAAACAAAAAACAAAAAGAAAACATGTCAAGTCAGATCGGACGCTGTGTGGTTTACACGATGGGTCCAAAGGAGAGGACTCATGTCATATTCGGATAAAACACCCAGCAGAGCGGGGAAATATGATACACTGTGAAACATAAACCCAAACCACAGAGAAGGGATTAAAGCTGGAAGGTGATCCGCTCTTCAACATTTCTTTACAGTTCGTTTATTCTTGCACAATGTGAGAAGAAGATGGCTTCTGACCTCGTCTGTATGGGTGCAGCTGTCAAAGACGGTCATGCTCTTGTAACCCAGTTATATCAGAAAAGGCACCCGGTAGGATGAAATACTTTCTCGAAAGTCCACACATTTTGCTTTTTCCCTCTAAATTTCCAGACTGTTCAATGCATTTTTGCAACATTTCTGCAAAAAAGTTTAATTTGCCTGCTAAAGATTCTAATCTAAAATGAATCTAACCTGCACATTTTTAATCATTTCAAATTCTATTAAAGAAAATAACTCTCATATGATCCCATCAGAGCATGATTATTCTGTATCTCCTGCAAGATACAGAATAATACAGAATAACCAAGAAAAACTATTGGTGACAAGAGTTCTGCAGGTCAGCATTTCGTTTGTGGAAATAAAAACCTGATTCATTATGAGCCATAAACGTTCAGAGTTACGCCTTACTGCAATCTAAAACATGGGGTGATGGTAAGTATTCCTACAGAAAGCACAGGTCTGTATATCAACCTTTTCGTTGTAACAAAAAGGCTTTTTTTACTCTACCCACAATCCTAAATTGAAACAGTGGCGTCTGATTGGCGGAGGCATCTGTTACCATGGAAATGTTAAACCCAGGGCTCAAAACTTCAGAAAATTCAGACACACAGAACACAATCTACAAAACACACTGAAAACTATTATAAGACATTAAGAATGAAAATGGCAGACTTCACTTTGCTGGGATTTGCAATGCATTATGTAATAATGTAAAGTGTTAGGCATAATTTTAGAAAACTATCTTAATCGTTGATTTCCCTTTGGATAAAGGTAAATCAGTTTTTATTCTTTGTTTTACTCCTCGTTTATTTCTTTTAGAGAGGTTTTATGCAGTCAAAAATCCTGTGCCCAAAATGCTTTACTTTTACCTCTAATTTAATTACATGTGAATGTTCCATGTATAGTTTGTAACATAAATAAAAGATAAAATGTCACATTTAATGGAATCTGGTGAAATAAAATTGACTTGATTGGTAAAGATTCAATTTATAAGCACATTTTCCTTAATGATTTATTATCTGAATAAATAAACCTTTGAATTATATATATCAGCTGTATTTAACTCAAAATTATTGCTTCATTGAGGGTGAAGAATCATGTTTTTGAGGGTGCTTAAACGTGTTAATGTCCACTAAAGTCTTTAACTGGCCTAAGTAATAGCTGATCTTTCACGTACTCCCCTGGCTGGAGAAGTACCCTGGGGGTACTTGTACTGGTACTGGGGAATCATTGCTCTAACAGAAGTGATTTGTGTAGCTACCGTACTATACACACTCTGAGGTACTGGGAAAGTCTAGGTTTTTTTTAAACGTGTCACGTTAATGTCACTAACTGTCACATAAAGACGAGCCAAACTGCTGCACTGGTATTACCATGATAGTTAATTCCCCTTTTACTGCCCCAGTGCTGCAAATACTCACCAGACCACCAAATATGTATTCATGCCAAACTGAAATCAAACTATTTACTCCTGTTTGAAATGAGTATTTCAGGAATCAGTGATACACTGTGTATTTCTATAATTGCCATTTTTAAAAGATTTACATATTTAAAGCTTTGGGTTAAAAGAATATACATGTGAGCAATTATTACCAGAGGTTGATAGGGACTGACTGTCAACTCACATCAATTATTCAGTTAACAAGCTTTAAAATGATGCCTGTGTAAAACCAAGCCAAAAAAAAAGTCTTTATTGTTTACACCATCTGTGGTTGTCTCATGCCTCTTACAGCTATGTCTTCTTCTCTCTTGATAATCTACACGTATCCAGATTGGGTCAAACACATTCACAACATTCACAAATTGCTCCGTGTCTTTCCTCCTCCTCACTTCCCCTCTCCTGTGGCATCTCACCGGTCTCAGTGATGTCGATCAGGCCCAGCAGGTGCATCAGTTTGAGGAACATGATCACCAGGCAGACGATGCCAACTGTCTGGAGTCCCTCCGTCTCCCATCTTACACTCATCTTCCCCTCTTCTTCTATCTTGTCTTCTCTTGTTCTTTTCCTTGCTTATTACCCCTCTATTTCGACATCACTGGACTCTCTATAGACACCTGTTTTAATCCATCTGCCTCTCACAGTCTCACTCTTCTCCACTGCCTTTTCCTGTCTCTGAAACAGTGTCAGTCACTCATCACTCTTTTTATGTCACATTTTTTTCTTGATGATTCTTTATTTAGCTCTCCCCCTCTGCCTTTTTAATTGACTGCCTGGTTTTTTTTGTGTGTTTTTTTTTACCCCGGTGATCTGTCGTGCTCCAATGAATGTTACAGGATTTTTTCCACAATTAAAAGCAGGGTGTGATGGTCCAACTCCCTCATGAACGTCAAATGCATCAGATGAGAGTAAAAAATCCCCCTCAAAAATCTGGATCACCACGTTAATCCAAAGGAAATCCAATCACATGAAGAGGAAGCTCAAATATTCTCACACCACATAGATTAGGTTTTTGGCAAAAAGCTGAAGCTGGCTTGGGATTTCTCCAATAAATATTATTCCTGCCGTCAGTGATAACAACAATAAAAAAAAGTTATCCAAAATTCTCAAGGAGGTGCATCAGGAAAATCCACCACAGAACAAATGACTGATGCTGTGCAGCTTCCTCCTCTATAGCCTCCCTCCATATCACACCTTATTCTCTGCTAATTAACCTCTGAACTCCTGAGGAAGCAGAGAAAGTTGCATTTCTCCCATTTCCATCAAAACAACCTCAACACGAGACCGGAAAATACATCAAATCAGTGCAGGACGGCTTTAAATAGGCATGGCTGACAAAGATTAGAATGATTTCTGCTAAATGTGACAAGCGGAAAAATAATTTGCCTTTAAGGACACAGAGAGGGTGGTGACAAAGGTCAACAGGTGTCCTGAATCTCATTTTCCCAGTCAGCTCCGTGATCCACTTTCTAATTGTTCCCCCGTCTCTCTTGGGATCTGCAGCACAGATTTAATGCCTCAGTGGAGTCCTGTCACACAGTCATTCTCATGTAATAAAGAAAAACAGTGAGAGAAGGCTCCCTCAGGCCCTGTGACACTTGTTCAAAGCTCATTTTACTGTCTGCCTCCCTCTAGTGGAGACTAAAGAGACAACATGCACAAAGTGCATGATGTAATATGAGGATGTAACTCCATAGCAGACTAAGAAATTGTTTTTCTCTCCATTCACAGTTATGTCCATGCAGATCTTCTATAATTTCCTACTCATTCAATTTGAAACTTTAACAATAAAAGCCAGCGATAAATCATAGGTAACAGAGTCTACCATTAGTGGATTGTATTAACTCCTAAGACCATAAAATGCAGCTTCTTAAGCATATTGCTCTAAATAAACAGCATTAAACAACTGAAAGTGACAAACATCTCACATCATTTGTTTTTCAGATCCTGGAGGATGGAGCCATTAAAATAAGAAAATAATAATTAAAAATGACAGCTCTTACATTAAGCACATACGGGGCTGATTGATGATGCTGGAGGTGACCAGGATGGACAAGATTAGAAATAAGTGCATCAGAGGAACAGCTCAGGTTGAGCAGTTTGGACATGTGCAGAGGAGGCAAAGTGAATATACCGGAGAAAGGATGTTAAAGATGGAGCTGCAGGGAGGAGGAGAAGTTGAAGACCACAGAGAAATCTCATGGATGTAATGATGGAGGATCCGTAAAGGGAAGATATGGCAGAGGAGGACGCTAGAGACAGATCTGCTGTGGTCTGATAGTTCCCTCAACTCATTCGCACTTTTATAATATTGCTGCTCAAATTCACGGCAGGCTAAAATGACCTTTAAGCCACTGGGAAATGTTTTGGTGCTTCCACTTGCCAGTCCACTACTGTCTGCTATTTTGATTTTATTGATTCACAGTTCAAAGAAATCTTGTCATCTTTTACTGTGCCTTAGTGTAGCCCCTCAGCTCATCAGTGATCTGAAACAAACAGCATTAAAGCTCCTCTCACTTTTAGTTGATTGCCTTCTGATTGGCTGCCCCTTGCAAACAGAAGGTGGGCTGATATTATAGAAGTTTCAAGAGTAGAAAAAAGTGTCAAAGCTAAAGTCTAAACCCTGAGCTTTCCTTTCAGAGGAATTAATTGCACATATGCTGAACTTATTTGAAACTTTGGCCATATTAGATAAAACAAGAAGAAGCACAGTAGGTCCTGTTTAACTGAAAGCATTTTCTAAATGCACCAGCTTTGGGAAATTGATGATATGAATCATAAATTCTGAGTAATTTATTAAATTGATCTAAAGGGCTTCTAAGAAACATGAAAATGAGCAAAGAAACCAGAGATGAACAGAGTGAAATACTCACTTCCTCCTTATCTTTTCTTACCGTACACTGACGCCACTTGTCACTTAAAATATCCAACACAAACCGCCAGTAAAACACCAGATACTGGTATCAGAAAGCCCCGAAATAGGGCTCATACATCTCTAAAGCCAAGGCTACCTCTGCCATCGATTTCATCCCAAAATAGGTCCAACCTGGACTGATCCCAAAAATCGACATCAGAGAGCACCGGCCTGAAAGGTCAGTGGTTTGGTTTTAGATCACATCACTTAACTGAACTATAAGCACACACACATTTACACAAACACACACAACAAGTGCCAATGAGTGAATATTTTTCGTAGGGTGAAATCAAAGGAGCTTTTGTTGAGTGCTGATGATATAAATAATTCATCAAATAGGCCACGGCATCTTCTGATTAATAAGCGACCACTAATGTATTGCTGATGCTAAATGTGGAAATGTGCTAGTTGTCAAAACATCCATAGTACCCGTCTTTGTTGCTGCTGATGGAATCAACACACTCTTGGAGCTAGAAGATCTTTACCACCTCATACCACAATACCTGTATTCACTTTAGATTTAACTTCCTTTAGCATCACACTTAGATTTTGATTTATTGAGCTCTTGACTTTCCATTTAAAACACAAACACAGTAGCATGAATGTAAATGACAGAAAAAAACTCACATCACTTATATATCTGGAAGAAGTCATATATCTATATCTATATACAGTGGGGCAAAAAAGTATTTAGTCAGCCACCGATTGTGCAAGTTCCCCCACGTAAAATGATGACAGAGGTCAGTAATTTGCACCAGAGGTA